TTATAGGGTAATACGCCCGCGCGCGATCCAAAAGCGGGGAACACATAGGTTTGTCGCGTCAAAGGGATCTGTTGCCGAGTGATCTCCTTCTCAATAATACCTCCATGGTTTTAACAAGGTAATTCAACAAAAGGACGCACATCTCGGGACATAGATGTGTATAAGAGACAGATCTCTATGGTATAAGTGCATGTCGTTGGCAAGTTGTTGCTAACGAAAAAATGTGAATTATAGGGTAATACGCCCGCGCGCGATCCAAAAGCGGGGAACACATAGGTTTGTCGCGTCAAAGGGATCTGTTGCCGAGTGATCTCCTTCTCAATAATACCTCCATGGTCATACGACCATCGCACGACGAATCCAACTCTGCTCCCAGTGAGCGATAGACGACGTGACGCCGTCTGCTGACTGTCTGTGGCAGCCTGAACGGATCGTCATTAAATCGATCCGTTGCGCGAGCGTCGTCGCGTTGCGTTCTCCATAGAATCGCGCGTCGCGTTGCGTTCTCCATAGAATCGCGTCGGCCGACGACCGTCGGGCGTAGTGAGTGCCCGGCTTAAAACAGCCGAACACGAACAATACACATCTAATGAAACTGAAAGTTATTAAAGTCTATCTCTATATCTCGTTATATATTATATATCTTATTTTGTTATCTAATGAACAAGAAGCAGTATCGCTTTCAAAAATCAAACAAGTATATTTAGTCTATGAAATTACGTGAAAATACTATATAATCTCAGAAGTGTATACTCTCTACGGATATGAATATTTCAAATCCGAATAAAGAACAATTTAATCAATTCTCCAATCTGTTATTGGAACTGTCTTTCCAAAATACATTAAAATTGGCATTTTCTCGTATAATTTCTTGTGGAATTTTAATAGGTCTATATATCGAATTTCTAAAAATATATCCTTGTTGAGCCACCCAAAGAATTTTCCAGGGTCTGAAATCTGCATGCAATTACTAAATTATGTGAAAATATTTTTGCAATTAATAGTAGAATCATTTTCATGAGATCCGTGACTAATTTTAGGATACCTTTGTTTCTCGATGGATTTGGCAAGATGGACCAGTTTAGATAAAATATAGCTCCTATATACATCCCAGATATTGGGGGAAAGCCCCGTTTGGGGGCGTTTTTCAAAATGGCCGCCTGTTGATTTGGACGCTTGTATCTCGATAACCACTGGTCAGAGAGACTTGATTTTGGTCTCAAATTGTTCACAATATGCATATTCCTATTTGTTATACAACTTTTTATCAAAAAATGGCGGGAAATGCGGTTTTTGAAAGTTTGACCTTTGACCTTGTAACGTCATATCTCAGTAACTACTGGTCATAGAGACTCACAATTGATTGCAAATTGTTCAGGAGATTCATGTTTATATTCTTCCTAATGAAAAAAATATTCAAACGGTACATTCTGACCTTTGACCTATTGTAGGGTCATTCCATGTCAAATCAACCAGATTAAAAAGAAATTCCTGTATGACCGTCTCAGATTTTGATGAAACTTCATAAAAATTATCCACTGTATGAAAAAAACCAAAAAAAAAAAAAAATTAGCCTCATAGGATATGTAGTTTTCGAGATATTGACTCCTCAAATCAAAAATATGGGGCGTGGTTCTTCAAGATGTGCAAACACAATTTACTTCAAATTTGGAAGCTTATAACAGGAGATTGGTAATAGCTATCAGAGTCAAACTTGGTATTCTAACATAGTTGTCGCTATATTTCACAAATATCGCCTTAGATTAACAGTTATCCCTTCCCTTTTGAAGTTATCTGCACTCAAATTAGCCGCTTTGTTTAACGATGCAAATTTTTTTGTGATTTTCAAGGTCACCTTGCTTCCATTTGAATGGGTATATACCCCTCATATTACAGGTGTATTTTCTAAGTGTAGTTGTCTCTAGCCATATGCAAGCGCAGGCTGATCAAATCAATTAAAATTGAATGGCATATATTCAAAGTTGGGACCAGATCTATAAAAGTGAAAAATGCCTATGTTTCTCTACAACAGACGTCTTGTGGAAAGTTAAAATCTTTTCTTAAATTTACCCCAGTTAATCAGATATAATAGATCTACCTATAAACCAAATTTCAGGTTTGGTACTCAGCTCCTTCATGGTTAGATACTATGTTGAAAACTACACAATAACATAATCGGAAATCACGAAAGTTTTTAAGAGTTGGGTCATTCTATGCCAACTCAACAAATGCATTACACCAGGGTCATAAATTTCTAAATTTTGTTTTGGACACTGTCTCAGTGATATAGATATCTATGTGAACTGAAAACCTGAAATTTTGAGACTTGCCAATTCATTTGTTTTCCTGTAGCGGCAGTTTGAGGTTAAGGGGGCGTGGCCTCTCAACAAATGCATTACAACATTACAGGTCATAGATTTTTAATTTTTTGCACCCTCCGGCCTTGTGAATAGAAAAACCTGACGTTTTGAGACTCAAAATCCCTTTTCGTTTTCCCGTAGCGGCAATTCGACGTAAAGGGGGTGTGCCTCAAATTAACTTTGATTTTCGTATGCTATTATCATCATACAACCACTTTAACCTTTTGTGGTGTAGGACACCTTTTACTGCTGATTCCAAATCCTTAAAAACATGTTTTTAACACATTATCAACAATAATACCCTACTTTTATATAAATATTTTGCTTTAATTTTCTAAATCTATGTCATGTAGACCCACTAAATTTTCTATGAATTTCAGATTTATTTATCTAAAGTTATTTCTGGTTTAATTCTTAATGTGCAACTTCAACCTGGGTAATAATAACCTCATCAAATTTGTATTGTGGGTGACGGCCCTTATTATTAGTAAGTCATAGTACATGGCAATTGGGACATCACATACATCATTTTTTGTGGCCAATATATGGTAAATTATTTCCTGGAAACTTTCTATTCTGTTTCATGAATATATTCATGTTCGATTCATGAATAGAAACTTCTTAGAATTCGTATTATATTCATATTTATTTGGGCCACGCCCCCTTAACTTCAAACTACCGCTACAGGAAAGTGAACGAATTGGAGAGTCTCAAAATTTCAGGTTTTCAGTTCACATATATATCTATATCACTGAGTCAGTGTGACAAAAAATAAGAAAAAAATCTATGACCCATGGTCATGGTGTAATGCATTTGTGTGTTTGGCATGGAATGACCCAACTCTTAAAATTGTTTGTGATTTCCTATTACGTTGAAATATGTGTAGTTTTCAACATAGTATTTATAGATGTGTATAAGAGACAGGTACACAAAACCTATGAAATCGGAGGGTTTATTAACAGTC